GCCGAGAGAACATTCTCATAATAGGGCGTCAAGATCTGTGTACTCGGGGTGGAGTTATCTCGAAGAGAGCTCCACTCCGAGCGACAGGAGGCAAGCCTAGAGCCTAGAAAATATCTGGCCAAATAAAAGGATTTTGATTCGCGATCATCTAGATTGGAAATTACTGAGGCTAATTTAAGAGATTTACCTTTGATCAGGAAATTCAAAATGCCGAGACCGCCACTGCTAAGAGATTGGTGGCAGGACGCTCGGCTAACCGTTTCAATTCGACAACCCCAGACAAATGGCCAGATTAAAGAGTTCACCTTAGAAATTACCCATTTTGGGACACACAAAACTGTAGAGAGATATAGGAGCTTGCTATACCGAGGGTGTTAACGATGAGTGATCGGCCGCCAAGAGAAAGAGAGCGGGATTTGCATAAATTAAGATGTTTTTCTAATTTCTCTAGTTTTGGCTGCCAGTGATCTAATTCAGTATCGCAGCCGAAAACAACTCCTAGAATTTTAATTTTCGTCACCCATTTGAGGCTAAGTGGTTGGTCGTCATGCGTACGCCACGCCCCCAACCACATGGCCTCTGTTTTCGTGAGATTAAAGCGTGCCTTTCATGATTAATATATACGCTCGTAAATATTAATCATGTTGAATAGAACTTTCAGAGAGCGATAAGATTTCACTATACAGGTCGTATCGTCAGCATAATTTCCAACTTTATAGCAGAGACCATGTGCGCGCGAAAGGAGAAAGCCTTCGATTTCAGGATTATTTCGGATTTTGCATGCGAGAGTTTCAACACACAAAACATAAAGCAGGGGAGACAGGGAATCCCCCTGTCTTACCCCACGAGAAAAAGGAATCGCATCGGTTAGCCATTCATTAACAATAGCACGCATTTTAGCGCCATTATATAAAGTGTTTATCCAAAAACAAAAAGACGGGCCAAAACGGAGTACGATACTTTGCAGAAAGGTGTGATTAACGCGATAGAAGGCTTTCTCTTCATCTAAACTGAGCAAAATGCCGGTTTTTATTCGTGCGGTCGATGTAATCTAAGATATCTCTAAGTAAATGTAAGTTTGAAGAAATTTTGCGGCCAGGCACAGAGCAAGTTTGATCAGGGTCAACGATATATTCCAGAACTTTAGAGAGTCGAAGAGAGAGAACTTTTGAGCATAACTTAAAATCAACGTTTAAGAGGCAAATCGGACGCCAATTTTTCAGAACTTACGATCTTCTTTCTTAAAAATAACGCGTATGTTACTCATCTTCATGGAATCACACATCTCTCCGGATTCGTAGCATGCATTTAAGACTCGATATAAATGTGGAGCCAAACGATCCCAAAATCTAGCGTAGAATTCAACCGAAAGGCCATCAGGGCCAGGCGATTTATTCNGCAGAAATCCTTATCGTTCAAAAGAGAGTTGTTAAAACACCAAACGCCTGGACCGCGTTTTACAGCGGTGGGGATATCTAAGGTAAGAAAAACAAAATTGTGGTCTGATATTGAACAAGGGCGAGTGTCACACTTAGCGTTGAGTGATAATAAATCTTTCGAAATCAAAAACTTGTCAAGTCTACTCCCAATTGACCGTGTAGAATTAAACCACGTAAATTCGCTTGATCTTGGATGCAAATCTCGCCAAACATCTGAAAGCGCGAAATCACTTTTTAAAGAGTCGTAGTCTTTGTGTAGAGAGATATTCCCACCAAATTTATCGAGAGCGTTGTCGTCACAATTAAAATCTCCTCCGATGATAGTCGCAGAGGAGGGAATAAAAACTTCATGAATCGAAACAAAAAAACTTTTCCTTTCGGTAGGATTGGTAGGAGCGTAGATATTGACTAGATTAATATCAAAGTTGTTGCACCTGATACAACAAACAAACCCGAAAAACTAAGAGATAGGAATACTAAATATGTTAAAATGAGTGGCGTAACCAATTGCAAAGAAGCAATGCGGCAAGCAAAAAAATAGAAGGTCCACTCTTAACTACAACTGTAAACCGTAACAAATCCCAAAACAAGGCCTTTGGAGCCCGAAAGGGCAAATTAGCAACAAAATCCCTGGAGGGGCCCTTAAATGATACTAATCATAATAAGATCACTTGGCAGAGCCTCTGAGTCTAATCCACACCTAAAGGGCCGACAAAGTCCAAGAAAAGGGCCTTTGAACGATCAATTAGTAGCGCCTAATATAAGATGGAAAATTAATTATAGCAAATTCTATTTTTCGAATGAAATTCCTTTCTTTTATTCAAACCATGGGGTGCCAAAGAGAATAACTAATTTGGACTGCGAATCTTTATTGATCCTCCTGGCGCGGTGCATCTTTGTTGGCCTCAGAGTTCCACTAACTACTTCCTATATATAGTTAGATATAGTTAGATATAGCTCTTTGGTATACAAAGC